TTCATGTCCATGCTTCATAACCAGTGACCCCCTAACACATGCAAAGTTAATTTCTTGTGATCCTATGGTGTTGATCCCATGCCCATAGTCACCAGCCTTACCAACCTTGTATTTTTGTTGAACCATCCACTTGCCTTAAAAAAATTTAATAAAAGATATCTTATATAAAAATGCATATTAAGAAATATATTAGTATGAATATTTAGATTTATTCTATTTACAACCATATATCTCCTAAATTTATTTCACAACCACACAAATATCCTTGAGTAAGCCCAACACACTGCATTAAAAAAACTAGCAAATTAACCCTTGGTAAGAAAGGTTTTATGGGAGAGAGAAATATTGAAAAGCAAAATAAAATTGGCTATTGGTGTTGGTTAAATGTTCAGCTTTTCTTTCTTAATACAATAGGAAGACTGATATCATGATGGGTTAAAATTTCAAGGGTAAAAATTATGCCTCCACAACTCGGTGATTGATCATGCAAGGATTTGGATGGTTGAGAATGTGTTGATATGGTGTTGAAATGTTGTTCTTTCTTTCCTTTGTAATGTATTTGTAAATATGGCATAGGTTTATTAGAAAGGATTTTATTGATCTAAGGAGGCTATTTTCTAAAAGAAAGCCTTAGGCCAATTACAGACTTATTGGGCTGGTTAGCTGGTTATGAGATTAATACAAGAAAATGCAAGTTTTCCTCATTCGAAGGCTTCCTCTAAATGCATTCTTGATCATAAAACCCTTAATTTTCAGCAAAATGTAGTATCTTAGGGAATGAATTTTTTTTAATATTGGAGTGGTCACACTTATTCCCATTTGGGTCGAGAAGTATCTAATGAAGATGCATCTCATGGCTATTGATCTTGTCGATGGATATATGTAACACTCTCAGAAGTTTAAGTAAAAATAGAGTGTGGAATGTCAGGAAAAAAATTGGTAAGATGGGGGTTTTGTTTTGCAAAATTCTACTGGACGCGGTTTCTTAGAAATGTAGCAAATAAAGTGGCTTTTCCAAAGAAAATTTCACACATTCGGTTCAAAAGAGTATGAATTCACTAGTTTCAAGGATACGACAATTTTATCTTTATGCTCATTTTATTGTGGGGTGTCAGTGCAAGATGCATAATGAATGATGTTATTTTTTGTGGAGGAAAGTTTCGGCTAAATTAAAATATTCTATCCGATCATCAGATCTAAAATGTTTAGTAATAACTTTAAATTGGGTAAGAAACATTTTATAAAACATGAGTAAGAGTGTACTCGCATCAGATTTATTTTCATGAGAAGAACTCAAGTTGGATTTGAGCAACCTATAAAAGCACAAGACATTTAAAACCATTAATATAGGGATACAAAATGGTTCTCAAACATTAGTGTGGATTAGGGAAAAGGGAATTGGTTTTTGAGTAACTTGGGAAAGTAGGAAATTGTGTGGTGTTTGGAGCACTTAATACACCTTAAGATTAAAGCTCTTTAACTTCATTTTATTAGAATTGTGTTGTAAATATAGATTATAGTACAACAAATGATGTATGAATCATTCGAATATAGTGGAGATCATTCGAATATAGTGGAGTCAAATCTGTGTTTTCTTGTATCATAATTTTAGATGATTGAGACTAGATTAAGTAATATTACTTATTATGCCCAAACAAGAGAGTCATTCAAGTTTCTTAGTATGCCCAATCATCTTCCTCATGATTCCATCCTTAAATCATATGACAATATTTTAATAGACGAAAAGTTCATGGATGATACTGCTAAATGAAGAACATATAGCAATGGAAGTGAAGATAGAGAGTTTATAGATCACTAACTGCAAGGTTATCGTCAACTGTATTTATTTTATGGTTTTGTGGGCAGCTATACAAGAAGAGATATCAATGAAAGAGTTAGTCATGTGATCAGCTTCCCCAGTGTTTATCATCCAGAATATGTTTGAACTAATTTTAAAAACACGAGAGATATATGAAGTGGAAGACTCACATAATTTAGCCAAAAAGCATTTACACAGCTGTTGAGAAGAAGCGGATTTTCTCCATTCTCCTCACTTTAGTCCTTTAATGTTTATAGCAACTTTTTTTTCCAGGGAACTAGTGTTCTCTTGAAAATTTCTGCAATAGTTTTGACAATAAAGATTCTTTTTATTGTATAGAGTATGCCTTTGGAGTTTCCAACAAATATATTTTGTATGTCATGTCTTCTTACATTCATTGCAAAATATATATATTCAAATACTAGGCCATGGTGGACCCAATTTAGGTTTGTATAGGTTGATTTTGTAGCATTTGATGGAAGAACAAGTAGTTTTTTCACCGATGTGGTATTTCAAACATAACAGTCATCTCCATTCTTCAATTATAATGGCAAAGACGTCTTTATTTAGGATTGGAAAGGCTTTTTTCAAGTATTTAAATACGAATCTGGTCATGTTCAACATTTAATCTAGCTAAGAATTCATAAAACCTTGCCTCTTCTACATAGAGTTATTGTGTGGCAACAATTTCAATGCTCTTCTCATTTTGATTGAATGGTAATTAAGTTTGAGCTACGTATCTTTTATTTTGTTATAGTAATCAATAGCAGGAAACTTTTCAATTTGTATATTCAATAGCCAAAAATGCAACTTGATTGGACACAAATTTTTATCACAATCTCATAAACTAAGGCAACAAAACATACCTTGAATATGTTTACTTTATCTCATCCCCAAAATCCATGAATGTGGTTAGAAATATGTAATTTCCGGCCACTTCTAACATAATTGAATTTCATAGCTGTGACATAATTAAAAAAGTTTCTGCATTCTACTTGGCAGAATTGTGATCATCTTAACTAACTATGGGTATAATAAAATGGCTCAACTTCCTCGGCCCTTAAGATTTTCACAATATGGGACCAAGTAAATTAATTTAATTCAGTTTGAAGGATGGAAATTTGAAAACTCACCTACAATTGTTTGACAAGTTCAGTTTGATTAGTCAACAGCTTATGATATAAAAGACATTTTCTGTCAAAAGAAAAAAGATACTCCCGGTAGAGTAGGTGTTGCAGCAGTAATACATGGCAGCGGGAGGCTAATTTCAAACGGCAATTTAGAAGTTGTGAATGATAGCTTAAGGGCTAGCATGTGGGAATCTGCATATTACAATGGGAGGCAAACAGAAACAAGAGCTGGTGGTGGTCAAGTAAGCAGATAACAGACAATAAGTAGATATTGGACTAGGAAAAATTACTAATATTAAGTTAGAACAATTATATTCATTTCAGATAATTAATTTAATTTTATGTTAAAATATCTACAATAAAAAAAATGTCAAGAAAATTAATAGAGAAGTTTAAAAGAAAAAAAGAGTATCTTCATATTTTTTTTCATTGATAGTAAAGACATGTGATAGTATAACATGACAATTGATTTGGTGTGTGTTACATAAGAAGATATTTGCCAAAGATAATGTTGAAGTTACTAAAATGTATATGACCAACTAACATTACATGAAATTATGGACTAAACAAATGGCTCCTAATTATAATAAGATTATATCAAAGATCAAAACTCAAATCCAAACAACTTTTATTAAACATGGAGAAGATGTTTATAAAGGATATTCAAACTGAGGTACATTGATATATGTTTATATATGTGGACACACACACACACACACGCACGCATATATATATATATACTATATAAATATGTAGAAACATTTCACATATGGAAATGTTTGTAAAAGAAATTCAAAGTGAGTTACAACAATACGCTTTTTTGTAAATGCCATAGTTTTAATAAACGAGACAATTGGAAAAAAACATAAAATGAAGGATCAATGAAAATATGATTTGAAGATAAAAAGCTTGAATTAGAAGAACATTGATAAGGTATAAAATATGCAATTTTAGAGAGCGTGATATAAACAAATATCAATCAATTTTGTTAAAAGATAAAATAATATCTAGGGTAATATATTGAAACAACTTGAATCAAACATATAGAAAAATATGAATATAAATAAGGATAAAGCTCCTTAATTATCACATAGCTCAAACTAATAAATGCATCAAGAGTGTTGTACAATAAGAGAATATCATAGAGATTTAATAAATAAAGTGTATATAATTATAATTAGACTAGCCACATTTCAAAAAACTAACCGGCGAACATTAAAAAAATATTTGTGATAAGATGAGCATGAAGAAAAATAAAATGTTAAGATAGATATATACCAAAACAAGGAATGGCAAACTTACGGAGTGATTATGTTAGAGGAGCATTACCCTTGAAATCCAAAGAGATAAGGTAATTGAAAAGACATTAAATTGATTGTGTATCTAGAATAAAGAATATAGAATACACCATAAGATGGATAGATAAATTAGTGTTGGAGGATTAGAAAATAAAAATGGTAGAGTTAATATAGAATGAATACAATTTGTTCAAAATGATTGATGAAAGGTAGGTTTAGCACCTTAGACATCAATCGATAGAAATAAATGATAAATAATAATTTACAAAGCCCATCCAAAACAATGTGATAAAAAATAATAATCATAAGGCTAGCCTAAACTTCAAGCTAACTTTCAACCATGACAACACACAGTCATCCTCAACATGGAATCCTCAAATGCTTAAGCAATTCTTGCTACTTGGATTCCAAAATCTGCTGCTTTTTGCAAATGCCAACTACCCAACCACCTCCCACAATCACCTAATAAACCCTAACACAAATTCCAGTTAAGGTAGGTCACCGTCCGCCGCAACTCTTCCAAGAAAATAAATAACAAAAATACGGATGTGTCGGGGAACAAACGTGTATCACAGAATCGTCATAAATCACAAAAACATCACCCTCGCCGATAGAAGAAAGGTCCTTTGATCTAAGTAAACAAACCTACAATCCTAAGTTTCTAAGTTGTCTCTAAATTGTTTCTAAGAAGAAAAAAGCAAGCCTTAAATTTAAAAACTTTCGCCATCAATCCTGCGTTTGTAAGTTGTTTACCACAAATTTTTATTGGTGCTTCGAGCTCCAGTAGATTCGGCTGGCTGAGGAAGACCTCCTTTGCTGCGAGGCATAGCTGCCGTATCTCCGGCTCGGTCATGTTAACCTGTCTCACCGTCCTTCCGTTCTTCGCGTCAAGAAGCCGAGCGATGAGGGCATCCACCGCCGCCTCGTCCATCGTCCTATGCGCAACTCAAAAGAACTCAAAACCCTAGCTTTATCAATCGATCGAAGATAAGTATATAAATAAGAAAGACCGAAAGATAGTTCTCTCAGGAGCGCCGCCTTCTCCGTCCGCTTTTCTATCGGAATATAGAAAGGGACCCAAATCTAATCAAACCCTAGAGCAGGAGAGCAAGAACGAAGGACCGATGCCCCTGCCGCCTTTCCGTTTCTACTCAATCGCACACGTGTGGAAGTTGCGTTTGCACGTGGGATGCTATTTTTCAGTTGAGGCAGTGTATAAGGGAAAAAATTTGCGTACATAAGACGTACGCAGCGATACATGCGTTCTCCAACGGGCTATTGACAAATCAGCACAGTCGGTCCCACCGCATTCATTCAGACGCGACCCGTCGACCCGGCCCGCTCGATTATAACCGAGTTATAACTGAGAGGTACAGGATTTATAACCGAGAGGGTCATTACCGCGGTACCACTCGGATAACAAGCTTGTAACCTTCCAGTAACCTCAAAACGAATGAATCGTGTTTATAACCTCGTTGTAACGAAGATGTAACCGAGAATTCAAACCGCGCGTTGTACCGCATGGGTATAATTGAGTTGTAAGTAAGGTGTAACCGAGATAAAGTGAAGCGTAACTTTGTAAACGAACTATAACTTCACTGTAACCGAGACTTCATACCGCGCGTAACTTTGTAAACGAATCATAACTTAGCTGTAACCGAGAGTTCATA